AGTTCCATATTCTATATCAACAATATATAATTTTTGGCATTGAAGAATATCTCTGTACCTGTCCTGTATATTTTGCAACAATTGTGTTTCCTACAATATGTCCAAAATACTATTTGTAAACTAGCTCATGTCATTGCTAACATAACTAATGCCCTTTTGCGCAAACGTTACATGTATACGAAAACAAACATATTTAAAAAAAATTCTTACAAAATGAAATAAATCTAAGGAAGTAACGAAAAATGGATATCCATAAGGGACATGCATCCGAATATAAGTAACCTAATAATTCATACACACCAAATTACAGTCTAAAAACAATCGCACGACAATCTCGACTGTCGCGCAACAACCGAGGCACAGTCGCGCAACAGTCCTCAGCGACATTGTCTCCCGAGAGTGTCGTCTGACTGTGAGATTTCCGAGAAACAGTCGCGCTGCCTTTATTGGAAAAAGTATTTCACTGTGTACTAGGACAGGCATTTCTGAGACATTCCAGGGATCATGTGTCGCGACTTTGTACCTTGATGTGTCCGAAGCTTATAGACAACGTACTCTATATATTTTCCTCTCTGTGATATCTGTGAACCTTTACTTTCACGAGGAAGAAGTGGGTAAATGGGATCCAATAAAAATTATATCAGGAAAAGAAATATGTATTTTTAAATTATTTTTTGTTAAACAATAAATCTATTTGATTTATTATAACTACTAAAATGCGTAAGATGCAAGAAGTAATGGGACAAAAAAAAGAGAAAGAAAGGGAAAAAAAGATAAGGAAAAAATCTAAAGCGAAAATAACACAAAAAGGACAAAGATAAAAGGGAAGAAGAGGGGAGCGACATGAAAAAAGCGATGGGAAATAAACCAAGGAGGAAGAAAAAGATATAAAATATAAATACAGAAAAAACTAACAAAAGCAGAGATAAGAAAACGAAGGAAACAAAGTTATGTGGAGAATGATTCGAAGAAAAGACAAAAGAGATCATTAAAAAAAACATATAACATAATAATATATCTATCTATCTATCTATCTATCTATCTATATCTATATATATATATATATATATATATATATATATATACATTTGGAATACAAGAAGAAAAACGAGAGAAAGATAAAATAAAATAAACCAAGAAACTAACGGAGACAGAAAAAAATAAACGATATGATGGTAACTTGAAAGAAAGCAAAACGAATAAAAAGGACAAAAAAAAGACACTAAAACAAAAAAAAACATGGCCACCCACCGAAGCCGCCGGCGTCCGAACCGACGCCCGAGCCTTCGACCAGGTCTTCGTCATCGGTCGCGTGTTCGTGCAGCCTCTCCCTCTCCCCTTCCACCTTGTCCTCCTCCTTCTCCGTCTCCTCCTTCCCCGCCATCATCTCCTTCCTCTCACTCCTGCCGTCTTCCCTTCCTCCGGGGTAGTAGTAGTCCTCGTCCACGACCCAGGGATACGTAGGAGGCAGCTCACCCGCTTCGAAATAGCCGTACTGGTCGTACACGTAAGACAGCGGCTCGTCGAAGTCGTGGTTTTCGTAGTCGTACTTGTAGTCGTTCTGGTCGTCGTGGTGGTCGTCGTCGTGGTCGTCGTCGTCGTCGGTGTATTCGGACGAGGGATGCTGGATGTGGTTGTCAAACTCATAGCGGCTGAGACCCAGGGGGCGCCCGAGGTCCTGTGGGGGAGGAGGGGGAAGAGAGGGGGGGAAGGGGAGGACGGGGTGAGAGGAAAGAAGGGGGAAGAAGGAGGAGAGAAGGAGGGACGGGAGGGAGAGAAGGAGGAGGGACGGGGTAAGAGGAAGGAAGGAAGGAAAGGGGTGACAAGGGGTAAGAAGGAAGGAAGGGAGGAGAAAGAGGAAAAAGAGGTGGCAGGGTGTGATAGGGCAGAAATGGGGAGGGAGAGGAGGCGGTTGCAGAGGGTAAGGGAAAAGAAGGAAGGAGGGAATGAGGGGGAAAAGTAGGAAAAGGAGGAGTATAGAGGGAAGGGAGGGGGAAGAGGAGGAGAGGAGGAAAAGAAGGGGGATAGGTTGGGAAAGGAAGAGATGGGGTGGGAGGGGACAAGGTAGGGAAGGGAAGGGGGGAAGGGAGGAGATGGAGAAGGAGGTGAGGAAGTGAAGACGAAGATAGAGAGAGGAGGAGAAATAAGAGAAGGATTGAAAATTAACGGGCAAAAAGATTAGAGAAGGGGAAAGGATAGAGGGAGAGAGACGAGAAAAAAAGGAGGAATGAGAGAGGGATAAGATGGACGAAGAAGAAGAAGGAGAGATAAGAGAGAATAATAGTAAAGATTGGGATTGGGATAATAGGCGGAGGGAGGAGATGGAAGGAAAGAGAAGTGGGGGGAAAGGGAGGGTTGGATAAAGAGGAGGACGAGGAATAAATCAAAGCAAAAAGAATTTTCAGAGAGGGGGAGAAGGAAAAAACGAAAAGATTAAATCATGTTATTTTACATACCTTTTCGTTTTTTTCTAAAGCTACATCTCATGAAAAAGGTATAC